TTCTACAAGGATCTCTCTCAACTACTCTAAAGCACTCAGTCAACGGACATCGAGGTAGTCGCTGGAGACTTCTGGGTTCAAGTGGGAACCCGGGACGGATCAGAAAGGCTTCTCGACGGTCTATATGCAATCCCAGCAAATAAAGAGGACAATGGAGAACGACTGCTCCAACTGTGCGCTGAGTGTTCCTGTTGTAACGACCTTGGCAACTTGCCATTCCGTTTGAGTATGAGTCGTGTTCATGTCTCACTGAACCTTTTGGTTCACGGTGTCTGCATTTTTCTCTCTTACAGATTGTCGGTCAACCCCGTCTCCACGGAGAACATGCTGTTTGTCCACGGTTCCAGCCCACACCTAGACTTGGCCCAATTGCGGTTGTCTGGTGTATTCGTTCACGGGGGCATCCTGTCGCACAGACGAGCCAAGCATCTCATACTGTTCTGCACAAATTTCTCGCACAAGAAACAATACCGCCTTACATGAAAACCACTGATTTTTTCAGTGTCAAACTCAAATCGACCACATCACCATCAATCACCGCTAACGAGGACGCATTGAAAACTGCTGCTCTCACTGGTCAACACCTGTGGATACTGACCACGCTTTGTTACAGCCTAGATTGTCCTTACTCGTGGTAAGCAATCACATTAAGCTCACCGGAAACGGATACCCATAATACGTCAGCAACGGATGCAAATCGAAGTTGTCCCATCAGTTCTACCACCAGTCGAAGAACTTAATGAGCACTGGAAGTAAACCAAAAATGTGCGAATATCGACAAAACTACGGCGGGCTCTGGCGTAAGATCAAAACACAATGAACCTCATCCACCTCGGCTGTCCTACTGGACGCCCGCAGAACCCTTCCTCGATGCCACATAGGACACAGCGCGCAAATCCCTTAAAAGCCAGCTCATCAAGAATCTGAGGAATGGCCGCAAGCAGTGGTTGGTTCGAAAATGAGGGGATATGGAGAAAGCTGTGTCTATTGGTAATAGCTTTCCGTTTAATTAGGAATACAAGCCCCAGGAACATGGACGGAAATGAAGTAATTAGGGAATCCGATGGCACACTGATTTGCCATCTGCAACACCGTCTTGATCGATTAGCTGAACACTTTGAGGCTCAGTTCCACTGGCCCCCATCAACATCTGACCTATCATCCGACCCCCTACCCCCACCTCGACTGGGCAAATACTCCCAGTTGATGCCAGTCCTCCATCTGAAATGGAGGTTTCCCGAGAAATAAGTTATCTCAAAAGGCATAAGGCCTTCGGCCCAGATGGGCTGTTCCCATCAGCGTTTATGGATGGAGGCTCAGTGTTAGTCTTGGAGTTGACGAAATTCCTGGGCTCAATATAGGACAGGAAACAGGTTTCAGCTGAATGGTGTGAATCGATGATTATACTGATTTACAAGAAATGTAACAGCTCCTCCTGTAAAAACACAAGAATTAGTTTAATCAGCATTGCCTCTAAAACTTCTCGCTGCTATTATACTCCGTCTATTGTCTGCCGCACGTGAACGGTGCCCACGCGAGAACCCGGTTGGTTCTAGGCCTGACAGCATAGACCATACTTGTACTCCTTGGTAAATAACCAAATAAAGACAATTCCTTCATAGACAGAGAACTATGTTTTGCTTTATCAAAAAATGGTATTCGATTGAGTCGACCCTACAGTACTCATGCGTTGCCTTTCTTTGATAAATGTGCTGGAAAAGTTTACTTTATTGACACAAAACCTTGAGAGAGTTCAATGTGACGTTTTCCTTTTCTCCCCAATTTACTACGAAATGAGGTTTTCGTGAAGGGCGCTTTGGCCTTATCTATTCAACTTTATAATCGATATAATTTTCGAAACAGTACTAATCTCGAACGCAGATAGTGGCATCATTGTGCTCCTAGATGACAGAATGCCCGGTCTGGAGCATGCAGATGATACAGTACTGTTCAGTGAGGATCCAGACAAGCTGCAAACTGTTCTAAATGGTTTGATTGATTGGGTAACTATGTTCGGTATGCGCTTCGTACTTTCAAAGTGATAACTAGGTAGGTCCAGCAAACAATCTNTGACAACTTACAATATCTGTGGTGCTAGGAAGGTGGAATGTCATGGGAACAGACCAAAGAAAGAATACTGGTGTTCGAGCTCTACTGCGTACGACGAACGGCATTAGTTTGACGGAGCAGCCGAACAAGGTTAGATGTAAAGTTTGGGCAATTGCTGTAGCCCACCGTAGCAGGTGAGTGCCCTCCGCAGATAGTGATTGCGGAGTCCTGTTTTATATGTTACATGACAGACTTCCTCGACGTCTGTTGTTTGAGGGTTTGGTTAAGTAGTTTGCTTTAGGTTTCCCGGTCGGGAACCTCGAGGTCAGTGTAATCGGTCATTGGAGACACTGGGTAGCTCACGCTTGGTTGCGTAAAGGCTAGAGTGCATCCTCAAACAAGGCCTACTCTGGACTGGGCAACCGAGTAGTACAACAGCCCACAATGCAAGCAACGAACTTCAGCTTAATCAATAACTCCATTTTTCAGTTCTCGCACATGAAAAACGCTTCACACCGTGCACATCTTCCTTTTTTCCAGCTTTTCCTCCACCTCAAATTCATAACCCGCAAACATTCCATTTTTATCAAGATCTTCAGACAATCGTACTATCATCTGTGCCTCCGATGGAAATTCGATCCCTTTTCTCTCGTGTCCTGCCTCGAATAGCGTCCAAGTCTCACCGAATCTTCCTCCACCAGTTGAAGCTCTTCTTCGTTCTCTATGCCCATCCAAACCAGCCCCATTTAACATGCGTACCTTGATGCGTATATGACGAAAGGCGTGTTTAGCTCGTACCCTCGAGACCCTAGCCTTCGATGTGTGTTGTATCCAACAGACTCGCAGTTAAAATTATAGCTCTGCCACCCCACTGAAGTCCCCGTCAAACCCATACGCGAAGTTTCACCTGCGTCTTTCCGGGGACCCGGAGGCTGCGGCTTCTGGTTTTGATGGCGCTGGCGTGGCTCACAGTGAGGGAGCTGAAACCGCGCTCCTGGATTGGATCCCAGACGACAGTACGTTATGCGCAGTGAGACTTAGAGGCTCGTGCAAAATAAATAGTCATCGCTTCGAAAGACGCAACTTCTTTGTCGTCTAAGCGTACGCACCTGTGAACTGTAGCCCAGATACAGTCAAGGAGACGATATGAGTTTATGTTTAGAGATATTCTTATTTTTTCTTTTTTTCTTATTGTTTATTCAACCTTGTCCACTTTGTTGACTTCTTTATTCCGTCCCTTTTCTATCACTCATTCTTGTGCTTATTTTAAGGAATATGTTCACTCATTAGTGCATGTGTGATTTGAATGCGATGTTTCAAGGCTATGGTGTGGATTTGTGTCATGCAAAAATTGTTCGTTGCACTTATACTTGGACAAGCCTATAAAATAATCGGTATATGTTTGTTACTACCGAACATGAAATTCCCCGTCAAAAACTATTTTCGAATGTCGGAAATAAACCCGCACAATGTTTTGCCCCCAGCCGAACGGACGATAACCATGACCTACTTGTTTAGACGTACGAACGAATACCCGTAACATACGATACCATTCGAGCTCAGTGAATAAGGCAGCCAACGGAATCCGATGTTCTACAGAATGCTTTGTCCGGTCTAGCAAACGGTGGAGTCGAACTCCTCCCAGGCAACAGAGTTCTTGTCTTGAAATATGCCGATGACATCGCCTTACTGGGTGACAACACACACGCAATCCAAGAGGCTTTGAACCGCTTGGCGATCGAGGTATCCAGGTACGGTATGTGCTTTGCACCATCAAAGTGCAAAGTGTTGGTTCAAGACTGGCAGAAGCCCGTGCCTGCTCTCACCCTGTGGTGATCAGCTAGAAGTAGTTTAGAGCTTTAAGTACCTCGGGAGCTTGATCGCAGCTCGACATGAAGTTGGGGACAAGATCACATCACGAATAGCGAACCTGCGACACCTGTGGCGCCGCCGTGACATCCGACTGTCCCTTAATCGCCACAGTTCTTAGTGTTCTGCTTCACGGCTGCGAGACCTGGCCTCTCCGATTGGAAGATATTAATCGAATTTCCGTGTTCGACCACCGATGCCCTAGAAGCATTGCTCGTGTCTGGTGGGAACATTGGGTGAGCAATGACGAAATTCGTCTTCGTGTGCTGGGTAATGATAGTCGTTCCCTAACGGAAGAAATCGTTCTACACCGCCTCAGATGGCTCGGTCATGTTTTGCTTATGCCTGCCTTTCCGTGCTTTCTTTGCACGTGTTGGGCAAGGTTGGAAAAAGCTTCGCGGCGGTCAGACCATGACATGGCGTAGAGGTATGAAGAAGCCGGCTTTGGCATTGGCTTTGATTGAAGCTGCTAGCCATATATATATATATATATATATATATATATATATATATATATATATATAAGGATATATACACAAGCCACGTATCTGGTTCGTTCCAATGTTATTTTGAAGCCTTGTAATATGCAGACTGNTACGGCTCGGTGGTGCGATTGCTGTAAGGTTTGTTTGGCGAAACTCGGCTCCTCATCACACCAAAATACCTTCAAAAAGTACACGACGAAACTACAAAAATTCCTTTATTTATACATTCGTTCTCCGTGTTCTTTGTATTCCCCATTTTTATCTAATCTTTCTGTACCCGTCCATAGCTTCGTTAGCATTGTTTTGCATTGGCACCATGCTTGTTCTCAAAGCGGTGTAAGATATATAGCCACGGGGTGAAATTGCTCAATGTCATAAACAGTGACGCTCGTGTATCTGCTCCATTTCTTTGCAACCCTAGTCAACCGGAATTTTTCATTTTCATATTTATAATGGTCTTAGTCAAACACTTCTTCCTCGTTCATTCAAATGAGGAACCAAGACAGCAATAAGGTAGGAAGGTGTGAAGTAATAGTTAAATAAATTGAACCGAATTGAACTATACCACTGTACCATTGTATCACGTGTAATGCTTACTCGAGTGGTGAGAAGTAAATCAGTGTCGCTTTTGAAGTTCTTTTCTGGCCAGTCTATGGAACCTTCTATTGAACCGGATTCAGCCACCTGATGGGAAGTAACCAACTCCAGAATGTTATCGTTCAGAACTTGAACATGAAACACCAAGGACATCCCGTAAACCTTATTCCCATCTTCTCGAGTAATGATAAATGTGTGACGTTGCGGAACTGGTGGATGACGGAAGTCTATACACGACTGAGTAAATAATCGTAAACCACTTGGCATTGTGACCTAAGAAAACAACATCAATGAAGTAATCACAAGGTGCTGTTTAGGAGTTACCAAGGCGGTTGACTCAGAATCGAAAGAACAACGTGGCACATAATCCGGAAAATATTGTAAAATGCGTGATTTGTAAGGAATATGTAGCGGGGATGTTTGCATTTCGGCAGTTGTCCGACCTAAAAAACATTATTCGAAATGCGGGGACCAAATGCCACTCACCTAGCTCAAGCGGTTCCAGACCGACGGTTTCATCAAGACCACAAATATAAAAGTAATCAATGGCTCTTGTGTGTGCCATTATTGCAGTCCAACGGAGTGAAATTAGTCACCCGACAATCGACTATCCACTGCGTGATTCAGAACCGGCATGTGGAAGAAACGTGCTTCAGGGGATCCTAGATATAAATGAATGGGATCGAAAATATGATGATGCAATGGTATTCTTACAGTAACTCCCTCGATAGCAACCTAGCTGAAAAGTATACAAGCTTGGGATTATAAAATCAAATAAATAAACAATATTGCAATATATTATTAAGTTTCATTTTCATTTTGTCAGAAATTAGCCCACACTTGAGGGCATGTGTTACGTATATCATCAAATAGGTTGTCATGGCGAGTGATGTTTGCCGAGGCAGGTAGTGAGTGAAAAAAGCCAAGGGCGGTCAAAATAACCAGGAGACTGGGTAATATAACATCCATTAGGCTCCCTTGATGGGGACCTATGACTGATCGTACCCGGTGGTTAGGGGTGATATGGTTGAGCGTCGTAAGCAATGGCGTTAGTGCATGTTCTCAGTTTCTTCGCAACCTTAGTCCATGAAATTCTCCATTTTCTCTTCGACTCTGCTTTCAGCCTTCGTGTCTACCTCCAACTGTTCATCCAAATGAGCAACCAAAAGACAGTAACCAAAACCGGCGCAAGAAAGTGCATGGTTAATTTTTTGTTACAATGTGAATTACAGTAAACGGGGAAATCCCCATGAACAAATAGCATACTGTGAAGGGGAGAGTAGGGGAACATTCACGTAAGATCCAGTTTATTGATTCTATGTTTAAAAAGTGTAAGATTGTAAGTTGGAAAAACAACAAGGGGGAAGGTGTTTCCCAGTTTGTCAGTTCGGGGGAAAAGAGAAGACTGGAGTAGAGAGGTACGACGTCTGGGAACGTAAACCTGATAAGGATGACTAGATATCTGTGTACGGGATGGGGGAGGGGTAAAAGTTGCAGGAAGAGGAAATGCCGGGGTAAGTTCCGAAGAACAAAAACTAAAGTAGTAGCGGTAGAACAGGGACAATGAAGCAACTGCCCGAAGATGGATTAGCGACTGTAGAATGGATGTCAGGGAAGGATTATCGATTAGCCGGATGGCCTTTCGTTGAACACGATCAAGGGAAAGGAAAGAGGACGAAGCCCCACCCCACACGTGACTACAGTATTCAAGAGCAGGACGGATTTGAGCTTTGTACAAAAGAAGATTAGCTGGGGTGAAAAAACGTCTGGCTTGAAATAGAAATTCAATCTTGCGCGCAGCACGAGAAGCAAGCTTGGTTATAAAAGCGGACCAGCATAACGAAGTTATAGGCAATCCAAGAAGGGAAGCAGAGTCTGTGGAACGCAGTTGGGTGGAATCAAAAGATAAATGAGGAGAGAATAAACGGTGTTTTGAAGAAATTGAAAGGAGAGAGGTTTTAGGTTGAACGAAACGTGGTTTGCAATTCCCCAGATTTGTTCGAGATCGGAGTCTAGTGACACATTAACTGCACTACGGTCACCATCGATATTGGTTTGAGCGTGGCGAGCAGTGCGGTAGGAGAGGGAGCAGTGGAGGATGGCATCATCAGCAAATTGGATCGGGTTAGTAGTTTGGGAAAGGAGATCATTGATAAATAGAAGTAAGAGGGTGGGCGCAAGTACTGAACCTTGGGGAAAACCAGCGTTCACAGGGAATAGCTGAGATAGAACCCCATCAACTCGGACGGAGATGGTTCGCCTACTGAGGAAACTTGATATCCACGCTACGAGCGCTGGAGGGAACCCAAACATGGGTAGTTTCGCCAGTAGACTTTCAGGCCAAACTCGGTCGAAGGCGTTTGAGATGTCAAGCAAGACCAAGTGTTTTTCCCCGTGGTTATCGAGTGGAGCTGACAGGGTTGTGAGACAAGAGTAAGGTCACCGGTGGAACGATGCGGTCAAAAGCCATACTGGTGGTCGCTCAGTAGTCCTTCGTGTTCAAGGACCGTGCGTAACTTGTCAGGAATGATAGTTTCAAATACTTTCGAAAGATGTGAGGGAAATGGGTCGGCAATTGTTGGGATTAGAAAGGTCCCCGCGTTTAGGAATGGGAAAAATCACGGCGTGCTTCCAGGGGGGTGGAAAGGAAGAAAGTTGGAGGGAAAGACTGAAAAGACGACGTAAAACAGGAGCCATCTCGGGAGCACACAGTTTGAGGACGATGGGAGGAATACCGTCCGGACCGGGTGGTTTGTTTGCGTTTAGAGAGCGCAATGTTTGACATATTTTCCTGGTGCTGATATGAGGTATAAAAGGGTTGCCAGTGAAGAAGGTGGAGGTGTAGAAAAATGGGGTAAGGTGGAATTGGCGGCAAACTGGAAAGCAAAACCCTCAGCTTTCTCGTTTGGTTGACATAAAAGATCACCAGAGGAATTGTAGATAGGGGGGATTTGGAAGGGTAGAAATTACGGGAAATTGCTTTGGCAAAGGACCAAAATGTTCGGCTACCGGTGGCGGACGAGACCAAGTTTTCGGCTTTACGGCGAACGAAGTATTCTTGGGTTCTCTGCATGGTCATCTGTTCCTAGCTTGCAGGAAGCGATGGTGGGAAAGGGGGTGGGCGAACATCGCCAGCGACGGAAAGCTGAACGTTTAGGTAGAACAGCACGGTTACACGCATGGTTAAACCACTCAGGGGATTTGGGTTCGCCGGGTTTGGAAAAGTGCGGAATAAAAAGAACAACAATGTGGGTGAAGTTGAAAACGGATTTGGAAACATCCGAAGAGAAACAGCCATCGTTCCAGGGATAAGCAGCTAAGAAACCACGGAAACCGTCCCAGTTGGCTGAGTTGTAACGCCAGAATGTGTCTCGAGGTGGGTGTTGGCTCAGAGTTTGAAAACCTAATAGAACAAGAAACAATACAGTGATCTGATGAGCCAAGAGAAGGGAGGATACGAACATCTAAGAAGAAATAAGGGACTGAAGTGAGAATTGGATCGAGGGTGTGGGCACGATCGCCAGCTCGATCAGGGACACGTGTGGGAAAGTCAACTGGTTGGCTCAGGTTGTTGACCAAGGCGAAGTGTTCGGCTTCGCGCTCCAAAGGAGAAGTAGCAGATGAATGTGTCAACTAGTCCTGATTGTGAACATTAAAATCTCCCAAGATGGTAACATGGCAGTTGGGGTCGATTGCAAACAAATGTTCAATGTTCGAAGACAGAAAATCAAAGATGGAAGAGTCGCCGCTACTGGGGGAACGATAAACAACACAAAAGTAATGATTAAAGGAAGGAATTCGGAGTTTCAGCCACATCAGCTGAAATTCACGATTGGAAAAGTCAAGATTTGGGATCCTGGAGGTGGAGACTGATTGGTGAATAAAGGCGCAGACACCAGCTTTGGGTAAAAAGGAGGAATGGATAGTGTAGTTAGGGAATTGAAGGTGGGTGGTGTCTGACGAGGGGGAGATTTATGTTTCGGTCAAAAAAGGCGAGCGGAGAAGAAAAATGGAGAAAGTGGTGTACAAAATCAATATTGCGGTTCAGTCCGCGAATGTTGGTGAGAGTGATGAGTGCGTGTTTACAGTCTGAGTACATAGAGCGAGCGAGAGTACGCGAATGTTCGTGATTTTGTATATTCATGCATACATGGTGAGGAAACCGGCAACTATGATCCTGAAACTTGGAGTGGCGGATCAAATAAGCCTTCAATAGATCAGGCGTGGTAGAGCCCGGCGAAGGCAGAGCCGCCTACCACTGAAGTCCCTTACCAAGGTCTTTGCTGAACGAAGCCTGAATTCCTTGGTCCCGATCTTCTGCACAGTCGTGATCGATTGATCTTGTTAGCATGCATCGCAGGTGGTTCTAGCTCTAGAGCTAGCGCTTTGTGAAAGACAGACAAACAGGTTGGGACAGCATATCAGTCTAATCGCCGCTGTGTCATGCGTTTAGTACGAGACACATGAACAGTTGGGAGCGAACTAAAGAGTGGTCAAATTCTAGTGGACTGCTCCAATATAATAGGAAGTTTTGTATGCAACCCCGACACTTGTGGCTCATAATGATTAGGTCGATTTGCGTTTTTTGCTGACTCGAGAGCAGAAGCCGGGGTCGTTTGAATTTCGTGCTGGTGAGGAATAGGTAGTGATCGGAACGTAGAGCCAACAGCCGTTCCTCGTTCTCTGAACAACAGGAATCCCCGAACGAACCTCCCAGGTGCTCCTCACTCGTAGTCAGCCGGCCTACTCTCACATTCGTATCTCCTGCCAAAATCACGATATCGCCCAGATTCGCTTTACGCACAATGTCATGAAGATTATAGTAAAATTCATCTTTAACTGCATCCGGGCTGCATTCCGTCGGGGCGTACGCCGACACGACAAACGCGTTTGGTCTATCGGGGCAACGGCAGCCTACTTTGCACGAACCTGAGTATCACTGCACACAACCTACTGGTGATTTTTACGCGCAAGTTAGAAAGCTTGGAGCACCGGAAGCTTGCCTAGGCGGTCATTGTGCTCTGCCCTGCCAGCAAACAGATAACAGCGATCGGATCCTTCAGTTCGGCGCAGATTACCATCTGTTTCTATCCAGTACCAACTTCCGTCACAGTTCTCAACGCACAGCAACGTGGCGCTCCAATTCAACTGGTATGCTAACTCAGATCGAACACACAGGAGCAAGCTGCCGTTGGTGTGAATCAGTACAAAACTGCAGGTCCTATTGGACCACCTACGTTAAATCTGATCATGCATTAGTTTTGATGCAGTTCACTCTCCAACTCACTGGTTGCAAAAACCCCGCCAAACTCGGTTGCCAGATCATCGTTTATATGACCCAACCGTTCGTGCCTGTTTTGAACCATAACTGGGGCAGGAGCTAAACGCTCTGCTAGGTGGTGGTGTAGATGAACAATGGGATCAGATTAAACGAGCAATGCAGTCCGCACCGAGAGTCGCTTGTGGATCTGAAGCGGTACCCTGCCCGAGGCATGGATATCTGATCAGTAGCACTGATGGAGAAAAAGCAGCAAATCCCGAGCGCTCAAGATTCAGGCATGAGTA